TCATCCTCATCTTCTGCTGCTCGCTGTCGATGGCTGTCGATCGCCCATCGTCTGACTCTTCTCAGAATCTCCGCTTCTTCCTCGTCCGTATCCACCGCTTCCAACCCTTCGTCTCCTTCTGCATTCTCCTCTGGATCCGCATCACCCTCATCTTCATCATGTCCATTATCCCGATGTGCAGTGTCGCGGATCGATTGAACGACAACGACGGATCCAGCGAGACTTTCGCCATCGGTGGTATCTGTGTCGCCTCCGAGCTCGCTTTCCGTCTCGGTCTCGGTCTGGCTGTCGAAATCAGTCGTTGGCGGAGTGTCCAACATTCCGCCCGCTGCTATCATTTGCACCGCCGCCGGTCTTCCCAGTTCAGCCGCGTTGAGAGCTGTTTCTGCCGCAGCTGAGCTCGAAACGGAGACACGTCTTCCCCTCCTCCCGCGTCGCGCAAGCGGATTGCGATTCAACACCCAAGTAAACCGCAATCCTGGCCTGGCTACATCGTCCTTGGAAAAGGATGGACACTTACACACCCTTGCCAGACAGTGGACGACAAGTCGTAGGAAGGGATCGTGTATCAGCCAGACAAGGGCATTGGGGGTTCGTTGGAATTCTACCAATTGGCCTCCTTCTTGTCCTGGTTTCACCGTGTCGAGAACTACTGTGGGCAGATCGGCCTGGGATGTTGAAGGGTTCATTGGGGAAGCGGTGAAGTTGAATTCAGAGTCTAGAAGTACTCGGCCTAGCTTTCTATCGCCGCCAGAGGTGGGAGGGAATACGTGTACGTCATCGGTTGACCACAATCGAATCTCGCGCTCGACAAGCCAAATGAACCTCTCCAACTCTCCCGCTTTGTTCTCGGCGATCATGGCATCAGAGATGTTTCCGACTTCTAACCTCTTCAGCACCCTCTGAGCATCGCGTAGACTCTTTCCAAAATGCCCTTGGGTGGCAGAGATGGGATCGTGTGTGGGTTCCGAGTAAGTGGCGTGACTGTGAGCGGGTACGGGCTGGTTATTCGGTTTGCTTCCCGAGAAGGTGGAAGAAGAGGATGGGAAGGTGGACTTGATCTCGTTGGAGTGTAGACGGTAGTCTTTAACGGACGGACGAACGGCGTGAGGGTTTGACAGAAGACGGGCATTCTCGGAGCGGCGCTGCTTGCGACGGCCGAGTTGATTTGCGTTGGATCCGCTGCGGGGTTTGCCAGTGCGGGAGGATGTCGGTGGGTAAGAGGAGGAGGAGGAGGAGCCACGCGAGCGATCGAGAAGGTAGGAGAGATGGTTCGAGTGGGAGATGCCAGGATTGCGAAGGATGGATGGCATCGTCATAGGGATCGGCCCCGCAGACGCAGCAGCTGTCTTGGGTGTCTTTGTAGACGAAGAGCCATTTTGAACTGCGGGGGTGGCGCGACCGTTGCTGGTGGTGGTGGTGGCGGCGGTGAAGGTGTCCACGGTGGGAGGATGCAATTCGTACTGCTGGTCTACGTCGTCCATCTTGCCTCTCAGTTCTATATGATCTCTATACGTGCGAGTCTTTGTTGCCTTGCGGCTCTTCTGTTCATGTAGGAGGGAAAAGGTGACGATGAGGAGAAGTATGTGAAACCTTGACCTCGAGGCCAAGTTGTATTGGAAGACTGAGCATCCGTGCACCAACTCTCCACTCTCTTTCGGCAAACCATCAATTTTAGCTCACGTCAGAGTCATGCACCCTCGGGAAATTTCACCCCACCTGTTCCTCACTCTTCCCGAGTTCCGCACTTCTGCCCCACACCACCGTCACCCGCAGAACCACCCTTTCGCACTGCATGTACACGAACATGCTATTCAGCTTTCGTTCGAATGAGCCTGATCTACAGGTATGAGTGTGCGTATGTGTGAGGTTACAAAAACGAGCGTAGCATACTATTCAAGTGCTTATCGAGGTGCTGGGGATTCCGGACCGGGCGAAAGCGGCACCCTGCCACCCGCTCGAGGCGTAGGTAGCGGCGAAGAAGCATCGGCGCCGTCCTCCATCCCATCTCCGAAGGTGCCGGCGCTACAGGAGCGCTGTGATTCGTAGGTGGAAACATCGTGGCTGCTGATGCCGCTGAATCGGGCACCACCGACACCCAGATGCAAATCGAGTGTGGCAAAGAGACCTCGTCGACGACGCATCAGACGGAAGGAGCTGGCTGATTTGGTGGACTGACCTGTACTAGGTCGAGAGTTGGTGCGGTAGCTCTGGTGGTGATGGTGGTGGTGATGATATTGGCTGGTGTTGCTAAGGATCGATAGGCTGGACCGGGCGGACTCAGCTGTGCCGAGACGAGGTTGTAAGTGCGAAGAGGGCTTGAGCAGCAGAGCGGGATCTTCTGTGATGTTGACCCCGGTTGATGAGAGAAGAATGCTATCCGAAGCTTCAAGGATGACAGGAGAGGTCGGATCTGGGTCAATTGTTCGCTGCGTGCTTTCCGCCGCCAAGGTCTTGTCGCTCCGCAGGAGAGTAGCAGTTGCAGAAACGGGAACGAGCGACTCACACCCAGCCCCCTTCTCCGCCCTCTTGTCTCCCTCCTGCTGTCTCTGCGACTCTGCCTCGGTCAACCTCGACGAGACACTGATCCTACTCTTACCGGCCTTCATCCTCGGCGTCAGCCCAATGGGACTACCAATCGACGACCTAGAAAAATCGGGCGGTAGCAGCACATTTGGCTCCGTCCAACCCTGCTGCTTTTGCTGGTCCTTCTGCTTCTTCTTCTGCGAAAACAGCGGATAATGCATAATGCATCCACTGGAGAAATCCACCGGTCGATCGTAACCATTCCCATACCCAAATCTATCGCGTCTCGATGACCTCGGGTAAGGATCGCTGTTGGCCCGAAGCGAGAGCGGCAACGAGTCGATGCGTTGGATTCGGAAAATTGGTTCTGGTGCACTGGCTGCACCTGAGGCGGGGTCAAGGAAGGATGCCGCTGCATTGTGGCGGGAAGAAGGAACGCTAAAGGCGCGTATACTCGAAACATCAGAGCTGTCGACACGGTGAGATTTGGGTGCGTTTTCTTCGTACAGATCGGCGGCGGATCTGCTTGGAGAACAACTGGGCCCTTCGGGGTAGAGACTGATGCGACATGTAGAGCCGGCTTCTTTGACCCCAGGATGGATGACGATGTGGGTGTTGTCTTGAGCTCGTTGGAGCAAGTGGGAAGGGTCGTGCTGCTCGAAGGAGGTAGTCATGCTGGAGGAAAGACCTATCTTGCCGGACCTGTGCAGAATTGCAAGGACAAAGTAGATGAGGGAGATGGAAAGGATACATGCGCATGTGGAGAAGACGAGTGCACGGCTGGTTTGGTTGGCAGAGATGCGGATCCAGGCAACACTGCCTTTGATTTGGTTCGGGATGGTGTCAATCTTGATGCACGTGGGTGCGAGGCTGTTGGCCAGGTAAAATGCTGTGCCGAAGGCTGGGGGACCTTTCTCATGAGTAGGGCTCTGTGGTCCTGTGGTGTCTGTGGAGTTGCGTGTCGTACCGCCAGTAGCCACAGAAAACTTGGACGCGGCCGTAGAATAAGGCGAAGATTTGACCTCAATGTCACAGGGCAAGTCTGTAAGTCTGTCGAACGTGATTGCTGCCGCAACGACGAAGAGGATCGCTCGCCCCAGGTAGGATCGTAGCATCTGAATTCGGCAAGCTGACCATCGGTAGGTAGGTATAAGGATCGAGATTTCTTGGAGGGCGATGACGGTACCGAGACTGGCGAGGAGAATGCTGATCGTACCGCTGCGTAGGCTTAGGGGGTGCACGAGGGAGTTGATGACTGCAGCAGAAAGCAATGTGATTGCTGCCAAAACGTGGAGAATTGCAAGGAAGCGAGTGGCCATGGCTGCTACCGTTTAGAGGGAATGTGTGTATGCAAGGATCGTTTGAAGGGTGATTGTGGTGGGCCGTGCCAAGCTGAGGTCAAACGACCGGGAGGACCGTTCTTCGAGATAGCAGGGCCAAAGACCGCATCGGTCCTGCCGAGCTGGAGAGAAAGAAGGAGAGTGTATTGTCTGTGCGTAGCGTAGTGTAGTATGGTGAGTTGCTCAGCGACAAAATCCGAGCCAGGAGAAAGGTCCGATGTTGCCTTTCTCTCGGACCTGCTTTTGAGGATGGCGGTATGTGCGCTCTGATCAGTGGGGCCCGGATCTCAGTGGCGACCGTGAGAGGTGGAGTTTGCTGGTCCGTGTCACTATCTAGTTGGCAAAGTGAAGTGGCGGCACCAGGCAGCGACTTCAAGGAACACCGTGAGAAAGAGGAGGGTACTCGTCGCCTTGCTACAGTGTAGAGCAAAGGGTGGTGACACACACTCACATCTTGACGCCACATTGAGTGTGTGTCTCCTTGTCCCTGTCAGGGATCCATCCGCCTTGTCTAGAAAACGACCGTCGGGATGGCTGACAAGGACAGATGAAATGGGTAGGCACGCATCCGCACAGCATGTGACTTTGATGAAACGAGTGGGCTTTCGATTGCGTAAGTGCGCCTCTGCAGATGGCCGCTTTATATATGTATACTGATGTGTTGCCATAGGCACGCCATTTTCCACAGATATGCTCGGTTGGTTGGTGCAACTCACTACGGCTAGGAGAAGACGCCGCGAGACCAAAAGCGCCAAGCCGGATTGTAGTCGAGGCTTAAGGTTTTGAAGGTTCTGCCGCCTTGACATGGCTGGCTTTAGATTTTCATTGTGGTTGACAGTCTAGAGCCTACCAAGAGGTGACTCAAGTACCGGGTCACTTGCCAGTTACGGTAGGAGTTCATATGAGTCGACAATGGCGACACGCGATGGCCGGCTTGCTTGGTTTGCTTGCCGCGATCCGTGGTCAGAGTCTCTCAATGATCGAACATCGACAACACGTGTCAGAAATGAAATCGCTTCTGCCACCACCAGCATGTCGTACAGCATCAATCGTGTCTGCAACACCTCAGAGCTACGTCGAGCAAAAGGAAGGCTAACTGAAGAATCTAGTATGCTCGAAAAGCAAAAAGGAGAACGACCCCAGGCGGGCTCGAACCGCCGACCTCAGCATCTCTCCTCTGTTGCAGCTTACCTTCTTGTTTCCCCCACCATTCCCTGGAGAGGGAGGTTAGGAGCGCAAGGGTGGCGCTGGGTTGACTGTGGGTGAGCGTCGAGTAACAGTGCTACGCTCTAACCAACTGAGCTATGGAGTCTGTTCCAATGAAAGCTGATCTTGTTTAGCGGGGTATAAAGGGTAAGGCGGAGCTGCAAGTTCTCCCCGTCAGGGCGAAGCGCTTCCCGCTGTTGATTGTGGTGATAAGAGAGAGAGACAGACAGACAGAGAGAGAGAGAGAGAGAGAGAGAGAGAGAGAGAGAGAGAGAGAGAGAGAGAGAGAGAGAGAGAGAGAGAGAGAGAGAGAGCGGGACAGCGTAGTGTGCCTGATCTTGTGTACTATACAGTAGCTTCTGCTCGTTTGGGCGACGCGTGTGGGGAAAATTAAAGCTCAAATTCCGAATTGACGGCGGCTATTCTCTGTGTGTCGTTGTCGGCAATCAAATTGAAGCTTCTTTCTCCCTTCTCCCGCACCCTTTGGCTGTGAAGGCTCAAGTTAAACTAGTCGAGCTGCACGCACAAGAGGATCCCGTGTTTCAGTGCCGGGCGTTGGACACAAATGCTATCTGCAACGCTCTCTGCTGCTGTTAGTTTTGACTGCAACTGTGTAGCTGACAAGCTGGCCTTCATCCCGGATGCAGACAGGCAGAGCGATCAACAATGTGCTGCACTGCGCTGCACCGTGACTCTCGAGAAGGAGGTGGGTGAACGCCCAACAGAGTAAGAAATTAGAACAGCATCGCATCAATGGAAGAATGAGGCTGTCGGAAATGCCAACCTTGCTCAACTCACAGTCGTTGTTGCCTCACTGGGCGGATTGGCAGTGCAAAATGCGAGAGGATGTGGGCAAGTCCGCGTATCAGACCTTTTGTTCGCTCTCGGCCGTCTCCCACACACAGTCGCAGAATGGGAGATCTCTCGACCATTGTCTGATCGAGCTCGACAATGTGCTCTTCATTTGCGACGTGATACTCACCACACCATGCTGTCGAGAGACCCCTGCTCTATCCTGGTGGTTTCGCTGCTGATGAAGGACAGAACCTGTTCAATCCAGACCTAACACTTGGGACAACGTGTCGAATCTGGATTGTGAACAGGGTGACGGGAAGGAAAAGGCGCACACCACCGCAACATCAAAAGCGGATCTCATCACTCGTCATCCTCCTCCTCAGAGTAGTAAAAAGATATCCGGTTCGCATCGACTCTCATCCTATCGGGGAGGGCAAAAGAAGAAGCCAAAAGGAAAACGACCCCAGGCGGGCTCGAACCGCCGACCTCAGCATCTCATCTCTTGCATCTCTTGAAGAGACGACAGGAGGAAGTGGGATGCGAGGAAGGAACCACACACCAGAAGCATGAGGATCCGACCTCTTTCAGAGTAACAGTGCTACGCTCTAACCAACTGAGCTATGGAGTCCTGCGTTTCTGTTATTGCAGGTTGCATGTGCTTGCACCGATCATGTATGATAGCTACAGAGGCTTGCAGATGGTAGAGTGTGGGTGGTGTGCGGTGGTCCAATGAGGAGAAGGAGGAGGAGGAGAAGGCCTTGTGCAAGGTGTCGCGTAGTTGGAAGACGGGATCGGCAAAAAATAAGAGTAAAAATAATAATAAAATAGAAGGCGGAAAAGAAAAGCTTTAAATTTCATTTTGAATCGGCTGGCTGCTAAAGTGTGTGCATTAACTCTCAATTTCGAGCAAGAGACGCAACGGGGAAGAAAGACGGGACGCGTGTCTCGCTCGTGACTTTTCAAGTGTTACATCTCCGGAACACACAAAGATGAGCAAAATGGTTCGCTATTCGTGCGGCTTTGATGCCAACCAGCTGATGCAACACCGTCATCGTGCGGCGTTCCAGCCCTTCTTCAAGCTGCACCGCCCCGGCGAATTTCGTCGAGAGAGACGAGATGCACTCGGTGGCGGATTGTTTTTTGCCGCGGCGCGTGCGCACAGCCTTCCTCCCCTACTTGCCACTTTACTCTGCGCACAGCCCTGTCGGTTTTCCTCGACCCTGTCATTCCGGTTGAAACCTGCCGATTTCATCCCTTGTTAGTCTGAGGCGCACGTTGTGAAATGACATCCCGATTAGCGGAAGCGGACACAGGGTGAGACGTGTGTGGGGGGCTGTGTGGCAAAGCAGCCGAGTCAGAGCGTCTTTGCTGTAGCAAAACATTGCCTCTGGCAGTGATTTTTTTCCGGATGCTAGATGGGTGTGTTTTTCGGTGCTGCATCTGATAGCCCTTTGACGTGATGGGATCATGTGCTTGTGCCGTTGGGCATGTCTTGGCACGACAGAGTAATGATGATGAAGAGGCTGATACTGCCCGGGTCCTCGGTGTGTGAGCATGTCCCTTCATTGCTGATGAATCTCGTTTCACTTTGCAGTCGGCCCATAAGTAGTTCTATCACTCTTTCAAATGGTACCGTACCTCCCTCCCCACCACCATCTCACACATCTCACAACAACTTCACTCAACAAATTTCCGCATAACCATGTCGTACTACCCAGGCGGACCAGCCCCAAACCAGTCCTCTTACCCTGGTGGACCCCAATCGTCTTACCCAGGCGGTCCTCAGTCCTCCTACCCTGGCGGCCAGCAATCGTCATACCCCGGTGATCCGCTCTCGTCCTCCGGCGGTGGCTACCAAACCTCCTCTTATCCTGGCGGACCACAATCTTCATACCCTGGCAGCGGTCCTCAATCGTCTTATGGTGGACCGCCCGGTCAAGAATCGCACTACAACCCCTCCTCCTCCTATGGTCCACCTCAGAACGCTTCGTACGGCAACTCCCCCTCCCCCTACTCATCCCAGCCCTCGCACCCGCAATCGCAGGGTCCCATGCAGTACGATCAGAATGGGCAACCCATCGACGGCGAACGCGGGTTGGGAACCATGGCTGCCGGCGCCGCTGCCGGTTGGGCGGGCAACAAGATGACCGGTGGCCACATGGGCACTTTTGGATCCATGGCTGGAGGCGCCATCTTGGCCCAAGTCGGAAAGAAGGTATTTGAAAAGTTCGACGATAAGAAAAACCACAACAATCCCTACGGTGGAGGCAACCCCTATGGTCCCCCTCACGGCGGCCACCACGGTGGAAACTCAGGCGGATTCGGTGGATTCTTCAAGTGAGGTGACATGCGAAGCTCGTATCTGATCTATACCCCCTACTAGTCTCCTGTTGCAATGATCTGTGATGCGGTTGTATATACGTCCTGATGTTGTTTCTTTTCGCACTCGCACATGCTCGAATTCAATTGTTGTACAAGTTGTATTCTGGAGCGCAAATTTGATGGATGAGAGTATTAGGCCTTGGCGAAGGCAGATACGGTATCGGTATCCTTGCACTCGCTGTCCTCGAGTCGGGCCACTTCCTTCCCCTATCGAAACACACATCATCGTTGAGGCATGATGCATCGACATGCCGGAAGATCCGATTCGTGACAGGTGTCAAGTTGCGCAGCGAGAGTTCCAGCGTCAGCCATCAGTCACACTCGACTTTCTTCGAGACTCGATAGGCACTTACGTCGACAACCTTGGTGATGGTAGGGATGCACTTAATAGCGTAATCCTTGCGGAACTTGTTCTCGGGGGTCTTCCACCTGTTAGCATCAAAGCGAGTCAGTACATGTATTGTGTCTCTTTGACGTGGGATTGGAGGTGACTCACTCTGCCCTCTCTCCAACGAGCACAATGTGACCGTCGACGGTGCTGCCTCCAAACACCTTCTCTATCGCAGGCTGAGCATCCACGCAGTCAGGACACCAGGGTGGGTTGCCCGAGCTGAAGAAGATGAGAAACTGAGGCTCACCACCCTGGCTGGAGGTGGTGGGGACGTTGTTCGAGGTTGTCAATGTCATCGTGTTAGAGCTTCTGGGATCGAGGTGATTTTGGTCGAGATGATGGAAGCGTAAAGCCGAGAGATGACGACAAATATGAGGAAAAGGAATCTGAAATTCAACACTAAAAAAAGAGCACGAAAATCAGTAAAAAATACACAGTACTGCCCGTGTTGGTCTCATTATCAGATGCAGTCTTCGCGTAAAGAGGAAAAGTCGCGATGGCGCGTGCCGCGCGTTGATTGCCTTTCTGAAATCACACTCTTCTTCCAAACCGTCACACGCCGAGCCGCTCAGCCCAACTTTTGTGGAGGAGGGAGTTGGTTTCCTCATTCATTGGCTGAGTCGATCATCTTTTATCCTCAGTTTCTCCCCATCACCATCATCTCCATAAAGCTCAAGGAAGGAACAACCTCCTCAGTAGCAGCACGACGCGCATCATTCCTTTGACACAATACGCGCGCTGCTTTGGCGCACTTGGCAGACACAGCGCTCTTCGGGCCACAACCTTCAAGAAGTTTCGGTTAGCGACTCCGGCTCTGTTGGACACATCCCGTGGGCATACTGGAAGAATCGTTATGACTGCTCGAACGACGCTCTCGAAACGAGATGCGAATACTCTCGCTGCAGACGGCGCTGATGTTGCCCAGGACGGACCTTTGAAGAAGCCCAGGAAGGAGACCGGGCCACCACAGGACGAATTCGACACATCCGATCAGGAGTTCGACGACGAAGCGCTTATAGCTGCAGCAGAGGAAGTCGAGTCTTCTGCTTCCAATCTAGCATCCTCGCAGCCGGAACCAGCATCATCGCAGGCCGAACCCGTCCCTTCCACATCGTCAGAAGCTACCGTTTCGATCGAATCGACTCCCAGAGCTTCCGCTACTTCCACTCCACGTTCGACCTTGCGCCAAGCTACACTTTTCTCTTCCTCCAGCAAAGCTTCCTCCTCTTCCTCTTCGGTATCGACGGAATCATTGCCCAAGTTGCAACCACCATCCGACATCTCATCAGACCCACTATGGCTTGAACGCCAAACCATGTCCCCATCCTGGTACACTTTACTCCGACCTGAGATGGAGAAACCCTACTTTTCCACTACCCTCAAAAGCTTTCTCGCAGCCGAAGATAAAGCAGGAAAGAAGACCTACCCTCCTCGCGAGCTCATCTACTCGTGGTCTCGTCTCGTCCCCACCCCTCGCCACGTGCGCGTCGTTGTCGTCGGACAAGACCCATATCATGGCCCTGGACAAGCGTGTGGTCTCTCCTTTGCGGTTCCAAAGGGTATCGCCGTGCCGCCTTCGCTGCGCAACATCTACAAGGAGCTGGCTACCGAATATCCGGGTAGCTTTACTCCACCTAAGCATGGCTGTTTGGACGGCTGGGCAAGGCAAGGTGTACTCATGCTCAATGCATGTTTGACCGTCTCGGCGGGTGCCGCGGCTAGTCATCATGGCAAAGGATGGGAAGGGTTGACAAAGCATATCCTGAAAAAGATCGCGGACGAGGCGGCGGGTTCGAGTGCAGCGAAGAAGGCCAATGCGAATGCAACGGCGAACTCAAAAATCGCTAGTATGTTTGCAAAGGTGCAGGGCAAGCCCGCGGCATCCTGCGTCGATGGCAATGGTGCTTCAACAGACTCGAAAGAAGCAAAAAAAGGCGAGGAAATACAGTGCAAAGGTATCGTGTTCCTTGTGTGGGGTGCTCCAGCTGCGAAGACGTTGACAGAGGCAGGTGTGACAGAGAAGAATCCCAATATTCTCATTCTCAAATCGCCACATCCGTCACCACTCTCGGCGCATAGGGGATTCTTGGGCAACGGACATTTCAAGAAGGCCAACGAGTGGTTAAAGCAGCGCTATGGCGAGGAGGGCATGATCGACTGGTCCCAGCTGTGATTCCGCACTCTCTCGCCACACACACACACACTGTCACACTGTACTCGCTTTGCAGGATCCTCAATACCACAATTCGCTCGCCCACAGCATCTTCCTTTGATCACAAATGGATGAAGTGACTGAAACCACGGGTCGCATTGAGAACCACCACGTCAGAAACAAACTGCTTGCATCTCTTTGCGCATGTTTTATCCAGTGAGCGGCCAGTCAAGAGACTCGCCATAATTCCAATGAATGCTCTTCACCTGGGTGTACTCCTTGATTGCGTCGACACCCAACTCTCTTCCAATACCGGATGATTTGAAGCCACCAAACGGCACGGCGTTGCTGACGGCTACGTAATTGTTGACCCAGACGGTTCCAGCCTGGATTGCACCCGAGACACGCATGCATCTCGAGGCGTTTTGACTGAAGACACCTGCACCCAGTCCATACGTCGTATCGTTGGCCAACTTGATCGCCTCTTCCTCATCCTTGAAGCTAGCCACTGCCAGAACGGGGCCAAAGATTTCCTCGTCGACAATTTTCATCCCCTTTTTGCAACCGGAGAAGATGGTGGGTTGGACGTAGAATCCATTGGCAAATTCTCCTGCTCCTTCTGTCCATGCTGCTCCTCCAGTTTCTACCTTGGCACCTTCGGCTTTGCCGGATTCGATATAGTCGAGGATTCGCTGTTGGTGAC